CAACAAAAGAAGTACAAGTAGATTTTTTCCCCTTGATTTCATTGAGTACCTTCCACATTCTCTTACTATCTGTACCACTATCATCAATTCTCTTCTTAAAATATTCTTTCTTTTTCACTCTGTTCACCTTGGTCACCTCATTCCTTAAAATACAATACAATTTTCTGTCCTTAGGAGAATCAGAAACAACCGCAACCTTTTTAGCCTCTTCCATTTGAGCCATTAAGCTCCTTAACTTAGTATCAACCCAAGGAGCACTTTTGGCTTTAACTACTGTACATTTCTTTAATGGGGCATGATTGTTTACAACTCTCATAAAACAATCCATAAATAAATTAAGGGATGCCTCAACATCATCAATGTCACTTATCAAATTCCATTTAATATTATCCAATTAATTTAGAAAACTCTCCTCATTAAAAACCCTATAAGATCTTTTCATAATAATTTTAGGACAGGCTCTAGGTAGCTTAGTTCTCCTGGAGACAGCAATACAGTTGTGATCACTAAAGCCAACTGTTACAGAAATGGGTATTGAGCACATATCGGGATTATTAGTGTAAATATGATCAATACATTTTGATGTTGAAAATCCTGTATTGTTACTAGAAATTCTTGTTGGTTGATCCATTAATTGAGATAAACCACAGGTGTCTGTCATGGTTTTAAGCTTGTTCTTCAAAGGACAAATATCAGACAGCCAATCAATATTTAGATCACCCAACCAGTATAGCTCTCTATTTTCCTCAGTCACCTTATCTAGCATATTACATAAACCATTTATATACTCTATCCTGGCACTATAGGTGGCCTATAACAACAACCAAGAATAATAGGTTTTAAATGTGGAAGATGTACCTGTAACCATAACACTTCCACATCATCAATCATTAAGTCATGTCTCAGTTTAACAGGGAAATGATCCCGTATATAAATGGCCACACCTCCTCCAAACCTGTTTCTATCATTTCTATAAATTGAAAACCCCCCTATATCAACATCTGAATTGTCTATGAAGTGATCCAGATGAGTTTCAGAAATCATAAGTATGTCTATTTTATTCAGTTGCAAAAATAAAGACAGGTCTTGAATTTTGTTCCTAAGACTACATATATTAATATGTGCAAGGATTAAACCTTTAGGCAATTTATTTATTCTGGTCATCTTAATTAAAGGTAAATAAGTCCTATATTATAATCTAGTTGAATATCTTGTACCCTAAGTTATTTTAGCTTCATCAAGTAGGCTACATACATATTTGTCCTACACACAGACACACATGCATGTACACAAATATATATAAAATTGAGCATTAAAGCTCATTAGGCCAATAACTGACTTTGTCCATCCCTTGGGGTGATAATCAGTTTATCATACTTCAAACTCGCTTTATCACCTCTCTCTCTGGCAGCTTTCACCTTCGGCCACAACTCCTTCCTCCTCAGTTGCACAGCTTCAGAGAAATCTTCGTTAATATAGATCTTAGTGCCCTTTAATTTCTTGGCAGAAGAAAGAATCAGCTCTCTATCTTTAATACGAAGAAGTTTGACAACAATTTTCCTTGGCCTTCCCCTCTCCTGAAACTGACCAAGTCTCTGGGCACGCTCAATGTCCATTTTTATTCCATCTAAGCTCAAGTTTTTTAAAAACATATCTCGCACCTTTTTCTCTGATTCACACCAATTCTCTCCTTTCTCGTCAGCAATGCCATCAATTAAAATATTTGTTCTCCTGCTCTGGTTTTCAATGTAATCAAGCTTGTTGAACATTGCATCCAATTCCTGCTTGGAAGTAGTGATGTTTGTCTCAAATGCCCTTATCTTTGACTCAATCTCAGTGCATCCCATCTTCTCCTCTTCAAACTTTGTTTGGGTAAATTCCAAGCTGGTCTTCAGGTCCTGTACATCTCTGATAACACCATCCAATCTTTTGTTAGTTCCATCCATGATCAGCTGAATGAAACATTTGAAGTTATCTTGCTGCTGCAATAACCAGTCCTTCCAGAAAAACGCGGAGTTTTTTTGTGATTGTTGCGGGCAAAAATCCTTGATTACGCGGCCTGTTTTCTTTAAAAATGCGATGGAATATGCGGGATATTTATGCAATTTTTTGCGATGAAATTGCGGGAACTTGCAAAATTTGCGGGAACTTGCAAAAATTGCGGGAACTTGCAAAAATTGCGGGAACTTGCAAAAACTGCGGTTTGATGAAAAAGAGGAAAAAAAAGTGAACACCCTGTTCTCACCAGGCTACTACCTTAATGTAAAGAGTCCTTTCTTATTACTTCCTATGATAAGCAAGCATACTACATCACAGAAAGTGCTGGAAATATTTAATTTCTCATCTTGTTTTATTTCAGACTGTAACGAGTGGAAATAAGGTGTGGCCCCTTTAAGAGCTGCGCGCTCCCTGTCTAAAGCCTTGTTTATACTCGACGCGTCCGCAAGAGCGCGAAGGTGCGCGCGGCAAAAATGACGTCATTGCGGTGTGGGCGGTCGTGCGCGTTGGGTGCGCAAGATCCCATTTCGCCTGGCGGTGTGCACGGCACTTTTTGTAACATCGCGCGCGGCGCCGCATCCGAAGATGAACGACTTCGAGCCGAATCTGGCCGAACTGGTACGTCTGTATCTGCATGTTTATGGTCCTTCTATATACAGAGACATTTGTATTGATGGGCGACCATAAAAGCCTCTCATTTTGTGAATAGGAACACATTTGCATTAAGCACCCAGTTTGCACTTGTCTAAAGTAACTGCTTACATTTAGAAAATTAGCCTACAATAGCAGAAGTAAGCCCTGCTGATGAAATTAAGGTTTAAACACTCTTCAATAAGGCTTCAGTTGTTTAGTTTACATGCAGTGAAAGTACAATAAACCTACTGCATTTAATACTATTTTTATATGAATCAGCAATTAATAAACTACTAATAAACGGCAAACTACTTCTTCACTGCTGATTCCTGGTGGTTTAGAAGAGAATTACTCCGAGTCGCCCCCTGTCGTTTCACAGAATAGCACAACGGCGAGCGCGTCAAGTATAAACGCCTCGTCCGTTTGGAGAGGTCCGCGCGCAGTCAGCGGAGACTCGCGCTCTTGCGGACGCGTCGAGTATAAACAAGGCTTGACTGTCTGCAGTATTATATGTGCCATGCGCCTCGAACACCCCATGTGTGCGGGTAATTTCTGTTTGATGCTACTTCTTTTATCTTATTTTGTTTATTAAGTAACGACGTGGACGGTAGAACGTGTGACAGACAGTTACGAGTTCGATTTGCGAATAAAGTGCGAGTTGTGAGATGCCAATCGCCTCCGTGAGTCTGTCTGGCCTCTGCAATCACTTCAGCTATGAGCTATCCCTATTTTTCTTCCCGACACAACGCGTTACAAGACCTTAATAAACACATCAAACTTACAAAACATTGCTGAGTCAAACAAGTTCTGTAGCTTGTAGCTGTAGTTCTGTTTCAATGATGTTCACGTCGCGTAATTACGTCACTTCATAGCGTTCCCATGGCAACAGGGGGAAGTGGCTGCTCTTGTGTGAAGCAAACGCAACATTTTCCAACTTTCTGCTAAGATATATGTGACTTTTTTGCGACGAAAATGCGGGGATTATGAAATCATGCAAGCCCCGCATATTTTGCGCGGAAATCAGCAATTTATGCGGCGAAATTGCGGAGTATTTGAAAAAATGCGACCCCCGCATAAATATGCGGACTTTGGCTGATTTTGCATTGAATTCAGCGATCGCATAATCGCGTTTTTCTGGAGGGACTGAATAACGTATCTTTATAGATCCCTTTCTGCTGCTCCATTAACTGGGAGAGTACACTCATTGTGACAACAGCATCCTCCTCACAAGGAGATGTTTTAGCATTTTTAGGCGGCATAATTTGTCTTACCAGGATGTACCGGAAGTTGATGAAAGTTGCAAATGTTGATGGTGACAGATTTCTTTGTCAAGGTCCTAGTAGGCCCAAAAGCCCATCAACTTGGGCTACAGCCCAAGCTCAGCGGATAGTAGAAATATTGTCCCCAATATTGAGACGCAATTTAAATAAAATACAACTTGAGTCAATTAACCACTAAATTTGGTAATACCAGAAAGGGTTCAATAGATTTTTGTTAGATTCTAAGGGGCCAGGTTCTCAGACAAAACTCCTGGCAGCCATCTTGGATATGATGATATTTTGCCATTGAAAAACCTTCACAATGAACATCTTATTTGATCTATAATGCCTGATGGGCGCCACCATGTTAGTTTGCACCGCAATTCAGAGAATTATATCAGTCGGATTTACAACACGTAAATGCATCCTCTTCTCCCGAAATACATGAAAGTAAGTGGGAGAAGAACAGAGTAAACTTTATATTTACGTACACGCAGGGTGTGTCCCAATCTATTTTTTACAGTCTATTCCAATTCAAAGACTGCATTCTTCTATTCCTTTATCACGTCACGTGATGCACTGAACGTTCTAATCACACCAATGTGATCGTCTGCGTCAAAGAGTATACAAAGTATATTTGTATTTTTAACATTTAATTATCATATGTTTGTGTAAAATTCTGAGTTTGCTTATACTTTTTTTTTTTAAATTCATTTTGAGGAATACTGAATCTGTTTTTTTTTTGCAAATGAGATGAGTAAATGTCTCCTCAATGCCTCTGCACTCCCTATTTCTCTCAACATAGGGACAGGAGAATAAATGGGAAATTACTTATTTGAAAAAGTAACACATATGTTATGTAAGTAATGCATTACTTGACAAAAGTAATCCGATTTTATAACTCGCATTATGTGTAGTACGTTACCCCCAACACTGTTCATGCATGGTTCAGACTCAGAGTAAAGATGTTCTGCCTAGTACCTATCTGGAAAGAGGTGTATGAGTTTGCTTGTTTTGGTGAAGAGGCGCCACTGCAGCTGCATTTAATTTTGTGATTTAGTTCAAAGTAAAGTACTTGTTCTGATTCTTGCTTGTATGTCAATATTGCAGTGGCAAGAGAGAGCGGCGATCAAAACACAAGACCAACAAGAGAAGAGAATACTGGCACTGAGCAAGAGTTTTTGGCCCCAGCTGTGTCATCATCACTGGTTTTGCAAACAGAACATGCATCAGTATATGCAATAATGCAAGAAAGGAGACAAGAGAGTGTTGCCACAGAGCAAGTGGGATCCTCCTCATCTATGCAATCACAGGTACAAGAAAGTGAAAGAACATCACAATCCGTCTCACCACTACCTGGAGATAGAACATCACAATCAGTCTCATCACTACCTGGAGATACAACACAAACACCAGAGAGATCTATAGACAGAACGCAGATGACTCAAAGGAGACGGCAACAGAAAGACAATAAGTGCTCAGTTATGTAGTGGTTAACTGACACGTGTTTTCAGTCATTCTAATTTTTTGTAAAATCTTCTGACTTCTGCTATAAATTTTTTTAGTCTACTGTGGATTTTTTTTTGCTATTTGAGCAAATTGCGATATAAAATAAATAAAAAAACGAAATAAAAATGCTAAGAGATTTGTGACAAGTGCTGAATATACAGAGATTCATTAGGTCTAATATTCAATTTTCAGTAAAATACTATACCTGAATACAGAATACAATAGGTTCACCTTACTCCGTTGCAATTACTAGACTTTTTATGTAATTGCAAAAATTGTTTGCTGTATACAATATTATTCTTTTCTGAAATGTTCTGGATGCTGTTTTCTAAAATAATTTTGATGTAGTGTCTAAGGAATGATCTGTAGTGCTTTATTGATTCATGTGTGTATGATCTGAAAGCATTGTTTGATTTTGAGTACAGCAATTCTTTGACTTTTTGAGAAGAGTCAATGGGTTTTTGAGTTTAGTTTGTGTTTAATGTTGTGAGAAAATGGGTGGAGGTTTTAAGAAATGTGTCTTAGCAATTGTGAAAAAATTTAATGCATGAAAGCAAATTAATTGTGCTAACAATTTCGGGTATATTGACTGTTTGAATCTATTAACTGAACAGATTAATTAAAATCAAATTTGGTAAATGGAATCCCAGCAGTGGTAAACATCTTTTTCCAGTTTTAAGGTTAAATACATTAAATTTGAACACATTTATTAAAACTAGAAATTCAAAATTAAACATGAATTTTCAAAAATAAGTTCTGCAATAAACTAAACTGAAATTACAATAAACCCCATTATTAATAAAAATTTATTAGACAAAAATAACTGTTAGAAAAAACCTACTCGCTAAAAATAATCGAACCTGCACGCAATGATTCGAAAAAATGTGAAAACCTGATCAGGATAGGATTTGGAAAAATGGGATATGATACGACCACGATCCGTTCCCGTTCAACCGTCGTCTACGAGGAACAAGATCCATCGCGATCTACTACAACTGATGCAACATGTTCTGTCTTACACAAAATTGATAAACTTGTACATTTGACTTTGAGAGAAGTATTGTAATTCACTCAAAAAAGCAACATGATTAAGTAAATGCGTAGAAAATTTATTAAAATGTATACAAGATATATGATACAAAGGTAGCAGAACAAGTCTGGTCATTAAATAATTTGTACATTTTACAAAATGACTTAAATATAGTGGTCCCACTGGATTGTTGTTGAAAAGGCCACACACACATCACATACATAATTGCACCCTGGGCATTCACACACAAGCTACTCTACTTAAGGCAGCCTGCAAAGCGGCTTTAACAAAATCACACATCAACTTTCAAAGGCGTCCCATTTACTGGCAGTCCCATAGAAATATGGCACGTTTTTAAAAAATGGGGCAGCAAACCAAGACTCAGACAGGCATACTTCTGAAGGCTAGTCGTGTGCATTTTTGTATGCATTGAGAAATGTGTGTGATTATCTGCAGGTATCTTGATGACCATCAATGATTGATGTTCTCATCTTCCTCCACCTCTTCATCATCATCGGCAGCATGGGCAGCGTTTGTGTTTCCGTAGACCAGGCGGATTCCAGCAGCGTTTTGAATAGCCTCCAGACTGGTTTGACTCACATATAAGCTCACATTTATGTTGGGACGTGTTGATCTCAATTCCTCTATTTTACTCCATGCCTAATAATACACATAGAAAAACACAAAATTATATAACTGGAATGTCTGGAAATGAATATTAAAGAAATTGTTCACCGAAAATGAACTATAAAAGTAGTACACAAAACTTGTATTTGTAGCTTCAATGTGCATGGCTTCCGGTGTAATGCGCTTCTTATTATTTTAGCTGTACAAAACAGTCTTGATAGTGGAGACTGGTTTTGTTTTTATATTATTTTAATTTATTAGCGTAAACATAAATACTGGGGTTGTAGTGCAAGTAGTTTTACCATTGACTGCACTTGTTATTCTTCTAGTTATTTACCTATAGAGGCTAATGAATCGGAAATCTCGCACATTCACATTTGCATGAATATATAAGCAACTCAAACTTGGATCGGCACTTCTTTAGGAAGTACGGTAAAATGTGCTTGCTTTTTAGCTGATGTCATTAATTCAATGAAACATGTAGGGGATGACAATGGTGATGATTTACCTTAGATGTGAGCGAGAGTGTGTGTTCAGTGTAATTGTGCAAAGTGAGTGCAATAAAAGCAGCTAATAAATGGGTCGCTATGAGCCGACCCCTCAAAGAGACCATTTACAAGCAGCAAACAGCAGCCTTTATGTGACACACATAAAGTACATGTTTGTAATGATGCAAGATGAATGCAAATGCACCAAGTTTCGATAGAATCAACCAGCCCAATGCTGCTGGGGGGCCGGGAACAATCGTAATCTGATTCGGACTGCAGCAAACAGTGTGAAATCCCCATAAAACACAACATGCCATTAACCTCGATATTTAAATACCTGCTGGAAGTTGCCATGATGGCAGTAGTATTCCACCAGGAACCCATACACATCTCCAATACGCACTGCAGGGTCCAGATCCTTCTCTTCCAGCAGAGACTCACACACACGCACCGCTTCTACTGGATCCTCTTCATGCATCCTTGACACACACAAATACAATTGCAAATGCATGCACAGGTGTTGAAAGAATGCACAAACTAAATGCTAGTATTTCATCGGTACCTGCGTGCCTGAATGAATCTCTTGATGAGTCCGAGTTTGTGTGTCAGTATGAGGATCCTGCTGTCAGCCTCGTCTCCACTGCGACCCTTTGCTTTAGTCAGACACTTGCATGCCTCCGTCAGCGCTCCATACGCCTTCTCATAATTCTGATAATCATCAATTTCCACCTGTGAACAAACACTACAGTAAAGTCATCACTGTATTTAAGGATCACTGAGATGTTGATTATTGCACTGACAGTGCTGCTGGACACACTCGGTACCTCAGCACAGGCCTCATAAAAGCCGGCGAGCAGGTCGAGTGCACGTCCTTTTGTGTAGAAGCCAATGATGTTCTTCATGATGTCCGGGTCGTTCCTCCAGTCCAGAGACTGCAGGTAGTTGGCTGCCATTATGTAAATTTCCTTCTGTCTGGAAACGCCTGCGAAAAACACTATTTTCTCTGTATCGCCGGATTTTAACAGCGCTCGCATCGCCTGTCAAAGACAAGAACAGAAAAGAAAAGAAAAGCTTGATATCTTTGCTTTTAGAAGAGGCTGGTGAAGACCTATTTCAGGATGAGAGAAGATATAAATGGATATAGATGAAAAGTCAAATTAAATTTTGACAGCATTTCAATATGAATTTTATAACAGTACCTTTCAATATGTCTAATTAAGATTATATAACTGCTTAGTTTAATGATTAAATCTCTGTAGTTTTAATAGTGTGTGTGCTGGGGGAGGGGCGACACATAATGCAAAGCAATATAAAGATGATTGAGAGATAATAAACATTCTTCAAAAGTAGTACATAGATTGTGTGCAACAGCTTTTTCTGATCTTTTTGAGATCATTTGGATAATTTAGAGGCCTTAGAAATTCATGAATCAAATATGATACAGTAGTAGGTTTTATAGTGTTAATTATTTTAATTGAAGAAGTGATTCGGAAGAATGTGAAATGATATGAGTAACATTAAACTCACACAGTGTAGGAAATTGATTGGGAAAAGGTCAATTCTATTATTTAGCATCATTATATAAAAATATTTGACCGCAGAATGCCATGATTGACCAATCAGAATCATGTATTCCAGAAAGCCATGTCATAAGATGACGCAAAATGACAGATATTCCATCTACTCCAATCTTTGATGATTAAATCAGCTGTTGATTTGAGCAGAAGCCAAACCTTGATCTTGTTTCCAGCTTGTGTGTATTTCTTAGTGGCTAGGTGGTAGTTGCCCTGGCGCATGCAGCAGTCTGCGATTTTCTCCAGCAGCTCCTTTCGCTCGGCCTCAGACAGATGGGTCGAGTCTTTTGACACCGTCAGACTTTCAGCCAGATCTTCTGTGATGTTCAAACTCTGGTCCAAACACAACTGGAGCGCCTCATGGTACTACACGCACAAATTCATATGCATACAGTTACAAAACACTCTGCTGTGATTCCTACAATTAAAAAGGGTTCTGTTTGCATGCATAAATGTTATGAATATGACTGAATGTATGACAGTGTGTGGTCCGTGGTCACCTTTTTGGCAGCCACCAGCAATTCCACAGCTTTCTGGTACTGAGCATGTTTTATGAAGAAATCGGAGCAGCGTGCTAGTAAGGCAGGGTCGCTGGTCTCATTCAGGTCCTCTGCGATCAGCTGCAGAGCTCCAAACTGCTCTGTGGCAAAAGCTAGTTCTAATGCCTTAGAGACGTGACCTGCCTGGAACGGAGGAATGTTACATAAGTGATCAGCACCACCTAGTGGTAAAGTTTGACACAACACGTATCTGAATGTAAAATGACACATCATAGTGAGAAAGTACCTTATGATAAAGCATAACAGCTCGGTCCATGTGCGTTCCTTTCTCTTCATAATACATGGCCGTGTCCATCATGTCTTCTGGATTGCTAAGCAGCGCCAGATTCATGAGTTGCTCGTCCAAGTTATTCTCTTTACACAGTCGGATGGCGTTGTTATATGCTTGTGCTCGTGTGTAGAAGTGCACCGACTGGCTGATTTCATCCTGTCCCTCGTACTGCCGTGCAACATGATAAGATGCTGCTCTGTTCCCCGTCTCATTGGCTATCTCACTCGCCTGAGAAATATACAGATCAGCATGAAGCATTCAATACATCGGGAAAACTTCAAATCAGATTCATTACATATACCTTCTGAATGTTTCCTAGATAACAGTGCACGCGCACTTGAGACAGGTAGTCCTGAGCGAAGGCGTAATAATGCAGCGCAGCCTCCATGTCTGATTGGCTCTCCAGATAATGGCCCCACCATTTATACAGATCCCTGTCCAATCACACACACCAGACAACAGACAGTGGGAATATGAAAGCCATGTCAGACCGCAGGGGCCATAATCATGAATCATCTCTGCATAGTAACTCACTTGTCTTTCATTTTATTGATGTAGATCTCCAATGAAACATTGTCCTCCATCAGCATTCTCGGAACTTCAAACCGATGTGTGTCTGACTTCTCAAAGCTATTGAGTGGGAAAGAAAAGAAGTAACAGACCACAAAGAGATTTTACTTCTTTTTTGCAGCTATCTGAGCAGCAAATCAGCTTATAAAAATGATTTCTGAAGGATCATGTGACCATGAAGACTTGAGTAATGATGCTGAAATTTCAACTTTGATGACAAGAATAAATTAAATTTTACTTTAAATCAACATGTACCACTGCCAAATTTTCTATGTATTTGAATAATTATGTTCATAACTTGTAATAAATACTTTAATGAGCTCATTGTTTCTGCCTAAAATTAATGCATAATGTTATCAAACTGTATGATTTGTATTATTTGATATGTATTGTGAGAAGCGCTATACAAATAAATGTGAATTGAAAATATTTCATTACTGTTTTTGCTGTATTTCTGGTGAGCATAAGAGACTTCTTTAAAAAAACATAAAAAATGTTTTTTAATAGTAGTGGTTTGAACTTCGTAATGGTAGTATAGTGTCCCATAGCTTTCTGATTTAATAAAGAAGTTACAAAATATAAATTTTGCACAAAAAACAACTCCCTTTGTGACCTCAGTGTGCATGTCAGCAGTGATTGTGTGTGAACGTGACACTCACTACACCAGCGCTAGGTTCTTGTCCCCCATGGCCTCCAGGTGTTTGGCGTAGCTGTAGTATGTGGTTCGAAGGTGAATGCGGTCGTGTGTTTCTGCCGTCTCTACCGCCTGCTGCCACTGACCTGCCGCCTGATAAAACTTATTCAATAAGTCAAACCTCCCGCATGACTTATACAAACGCTCGGCATCCTCCTGCGAAAAAAGAGAGAGATGCTGCGATAAACCCAAATGTTTAAATCCAAATGTTTAGTTCTTGTTATTGTACTGAACGAGACAGAGAGGCTCCAAGTGCACGAGGTTTATTTAGATAACGTTGTGTTTGTGCTTGTGTGATTTAAACACAACATGAAACGTCATTTGCGATGTATTCAGCTTCCATAATGTGACATACCTCAGTGAAACATACACTACATAAAACAGCAGAAAAGTTGTTCCAGAGGTGGAGAAAGTTATTAGATATTAGATACAAGATTATGATAACAAACATTCCTTTCTTTAATAATAATGCATACTACTGAATGTGCACAATGGGAACGGGAACATTTAGTAGGTTAGCAAAAGAGCTCATATATGTCAAACTTTGTCAATTTTTGTGTGTCTTACCAGCATGCCCAGCTGTGTCGCCAGTACGGCCACCTGTGCCTCCAACTCCGGCTCTTTTTCAGCGTCCCTGAGAGCACGAGCAGCCCGTGCGTTACCCATGTTCCCCAGACACACGCGCGCCACGTCCAGACGACGACTCTTCACACACATCCGCGCCATGTTCTCCCACACCGCCTCACTGGAGATTCAATCATATACATGCACACATTTTACATTAACATGTATGTATTTGGCAGATGCTTTTATCCAAAGCGACATTGCATTGAAGGTATATATTTTATTTCATGCATTCCCTGGAAATCTAACATATGACCTTGGCATTATACCAAGGTCATAGGTCCATTGCTATTGACCTTCTCTACTTTTTGAGCTATAGGAATTAATCAAAAACAAAAACATTATATATAATATTCAGATGTCTTTTTTCTCAACACTTTAAGATCTGCACTGTATAAAAGTGTGGAAACATGCACTGAAACGTAACATGAAGCATCAGATCTGTCTTAAAATGGTGTGAGGATGTTAAAGATGATGTTCGCGCAGTCTATTGTCTCTTCAGCTCTCAGCAGTTTGAGTGTTTCTGCTCTTTCTCCTTTCGTTCCACCTCATGAGCGAACCGTTTCAGCTATGCATGGAATGACCCCATCAACACCCAACACTCTCTCTCCCACATTCCCTCTCTCCCACTCGCTTGGCCCTTCGTGCCCTCGCTCCTTTTTTCATCCAGTCCCATCTGGTCTTTATTTATCCAAAATCCCCCTGTTCTCCCGTCTTTTTCGCTCCGTTCGGCTTTAGTAGATACAGATGTGGGCTGTTTATTAGAGTTAAGCAACAGGAAATTCCCTGAATCTTTGGGGGCCCAGAACTGAGCAAGAAACAGCAGAAAAGTAGAGAGAGAAGCAAATCCAACCAGTATGATTTATGATTCTCCCTTTTATTGGATAAAAATGAAGAAATGAAGTAAATTTTTACATTGTTTTAGGTATGTGGCTTCTTCAATGTACATCTGTAGGATTTTTTCACTTGTTTTATGGTCCAGCAGGTGAAAAAGGTTCATTTGCTCACTATAACAGAACAGATCTCCTCAATAACACAGTATTTGAGGAATCATTCATGTCTGGAGTGCAAACGCTGCAGGACGATGCACAAGCTGAACTTTAATACTTACTGCTACAGGTAAATTTCACTAAATACATGATATCACATCTCTCGCTCCATTAATAACCCGCTCACTGAGTCAAAGAGAGAAAGAGGACGGCGTTGCATTCTGTTCTGTCTGTTTTCCTTCCAGGAAACACATCCTGTAGCCGGAGTAACGTGTTAGCCACAGAGAGAAAGAGAGAGAGAGAGAGATGTATTCCCAAGTACTCCCTACCCTCCCAGTTCTTCTCAGCTTTTCAGGGATGAAGTACACACGCTTGTGAACATGGGAAACTGGTTAGGATGAGTAATCTGAGATAAACGAGCGAGAAAGAGTGTGAGAAAGAACAAAAAGCACAGAGACAGCATCACGTAGACATTCCTCAGCGTTCCCAGCAGGGAGACGTGGAGAAAAAAACGACCCAGCGCACATCTGCAGGAGAAAGGGGGAGGAACAGACCGTAGAGCCGCAGACAGAGAAAGGACGAGGATTTCAAGAAAGCGTGCTTGTTTATGTGATGGCCTTGGAGGTCCAGCGTCCAGCCCTACGAGCAGCATCGGTCCCGGACTCTGAGGAAGAGGGCTAGAGACTCCTCAAGACACAAGAATGAGTGGCGATGTCCTCTAGCTAACCTCTTACAGCGTTCATGCCGCTCTGCGTTTAGCGTGCACGTGTACCCGTGGACGTTTCAGGTGTTTGAGAGGCGTATGGCCGTTCGCAGGCTGGTGGCGGTGGCGGCGGCGGTGGCCCTGCTTTCTCTGGTGCTCAACAACGTGGCGACGTTCAGCTCTAACTGGGTGTTACAGGTGCTGGAGGACGGACGGAGGAGAAGCGTTGGGCTCTGGAGAGCATGTGCGCACGAGGACACACACACTCACGAGCTCACACCCTGCCAGAGACTCAGCTGGGGATCGGAGTTCGCGGGGTACCAGGAGTCACGCAGCACTGTCAAACGTGAGTCTCCGCGATACAGCTGGAGCGTGTGTACTGTGTGTGAGGGAATAGACGTTAATGCGACCTCTGCAGCAAATCAACAGATTTACGCACTTTTTAATGCCCTTTGTTACTAAGTTTAACAGAAAAAGTTAACACTTTTATTAAGAAATATTATATTACCGTAATATTATAATTTTCAACGCATCATGTACATTCAATTAGAAATGTTACTAAACATAAATCAATATATTTTATCTATATATAATTTCAGTGCCAAGCATGATACAAAATGAATGTCTTATTGAAACTATTAAATAAATTAAATTAAAAAAATTAAAACTATTAAAATATAATAAAATGTCAAGTGTACATGTTTCATAAATATATTTCATATTTAAGTGAACATCAACTTTGCTAATATAATGTTTCATAGAATGTTACTTTAAAATAACTTTCAGTAAGTAATTATTTAAAGCGTTACCACTCCACAAAATGTTTTATATATGTATATAATTTTGTGAAGGGGTAACGCTTTCAAGAGCCACAAAATTGGCCAAAAAGTGTTACATTTTTTACAGACATTTTATGATTGCGTGTATGAACTGCTTGCATTCATATAAAACCTATTTAAAATATGAGCTTAAGAGTCCTCCTCAAGTGAAGGACATGTCTAGAAGTTGTCTGGCTAGTATTAAACCATGGCAACTATCACTGGAAGAACAGCCTAGCAGAGATTTGCTGGACTGTAGCTTGCAGCCTGGCACGTCTGTCCATCTATCCTGATTTAGAAATAGGAAACGGATGGACACAGTGAAGGATTGTGTCTTTCAGGAAGTGACACCCACATTGGCAAAGTTGTGTCTCATGCACATCTGCAGCTGGATCTTCCTTACAATGATTCAGATGTTCTACCTACCCACACACACACACACACACACACACACACACACACACACACACACACACACACACACACACACACACCTGCTCATACACAATGTAAAACATGCTTTAAAAAAAAAGTTATTTCATGCTTAATTAACTTAACTTGCCATTTCTTTGTAATTACTTGTGACATTTCTGAGTGAATTTTATTTTCAGTGCATGTACATGTTGGGTTTGAATCTCTTAAAAACCATTGAGCAATAATTGTTTTTCTTTTCTGTTTACAGTTCAGTTTGACATGATGCGGGCATGTAACCTGATGGCTACGGTGGCTCTGACCGTGGGTCAGCTAATCTTCCTGTTTGGGTTATTGGAGATAAGCCACATTACCCAGGATTCTCAGTGGTGGGAGGAGGCCATCGCAGCCCTGTTCCAGTTAGCCAGTAAGTGTGCAAGCCTGTTTGTACAGTCAGTAACAAACACTAACAGCCCCTTTGAGGAGCTTCAATAAGCCTGACAGAAATCCAACACGCCCACCCTCAAATAACACATTAATTCTTTAATATCTAAGCCGTCTGTCCTTAGAGATACGGTCTCTATTGTCCTATGTTTGTTGTTCTGCATTTTGGGAAAGGAAAGATGGAGCTTTGAGGATCTATAACAGAACAAACATCAACAAAGCATAGCAGCCTGAGCGCAGCGACTACACACAATTCAACAGGAAACAACAGAGTCCTGGCCAGAGGCCCGCTGACAAATTAAATGAACTCCCATTTGGGACGAACGCAGGCCTGTCTCTTCAAAACATGCTGCTGATGTCCCATGAAAGTGTGCTGGCTGTGATGTTATCTCGTTTTATCGCGTGTACACTTTGAATTGTGCATCCTTCATCTGCATGGATGTTTAAATGCTGACTGGCATTCTTAATGTACGCTTGTTGATGGGCTACTAGTGAATGTGTAATTGTGAGTGTTGTAATGATCCGCAAATTGATGGCATATTTTATAAATAAATAAAAGAACATTACAATACACCCAGAACATTCTAGCAACACCCAAGCAACCACCCAAAACACCCTAGCAACCACATAGAACATCCCAGCAACACCCTAACAACCTCCCAGAAAACCCTAGCATCCATCTGACAACGCCCTAGTACCCACCTAAATGACCCAAAACATGGTGTATCTTATAAATAAATAAAAGGACATAACAAATCACCCAGAACATTCTAGCAACACCCTAGCAACTCAATAGCAACCACCCTGAACACCCTAGCAGCTGCAACCACTTAGAATACAGTAGCAACTGCCCATAACACCCTACCAACAACCTAACAACTGCCCATAACAACACCCTAGCAACAACCTAGAACACTCTAGCAACATCTTACTAACCACCCAGAACACCCTAGGTGGTTACCTAACCCTAACCACCACCCTAGAACAACCAGCAACCACCCAGAACATAAGGCTACAAGATTTGGGGAAAAAATCTAATTGCAATTTCATATTATAATTACTAGAATTTTTATTATTTAATATATAATATTTGTTTAATTAAATCATAGCCGTGGCGATTTAATTATTCGCACTAAGCCATGTTGTGATTTCAGTTTTAATTTAATTAAACATGCTGCCCTACTAGAGCACCCTAGCAGACACCTAGCAACACCTTAGCAACCACCCAAAACACCCCAGCATAGGGCTGGACGCTGGACCTCCAAGGCCATCACATAAACAAGCACCAACTTTTGCACAGGCAAGCACGACTCGCGTTTTATTCATACATGTAAAAATGTAGGTAATAAGAATTCTTTGATCACACCCGCTGTTTTCTTAACCTCGGGTCATTTTTCATAACCACCCTGTACATTTCCTGTGTTATTAGAAAAAGTTATTTTCAAGTTTCATCAAAGATGTCTGTGACTCCATGGTCTGGCTTTTGTGATGTAGTGCTACGATGGTGGTCTGCTACTAGTGTAGTATATCAGTACAGCAAATAGTGCGCACTGCCTGTGTATGTGTGCGCTGTTTTAAGTGTGACAATAGTTATATTTAGCTAAACAGGGTCCAGAGCACCAGCGGCTGCCGCACAGCTCCAGAGAGCGACAGTCAGGCGCCAGGATATCCCTGCTCAGGACGAGGAAGTGTCTGTAACTACCTGTTATGCAAACCCAGAGCCGCAGAGGAAAGACGGGGAGGGGGTGTGTGACAGTAAGGAGTGGGGTGGCCGAGTGTCAGAGTTATTAGACGTGGACTTGAACGGGAATTGATCATATCTTAAGAAGCGCAGACCGATACAGAAGAAAGAAAAGTGGATGTGTGTGACGCCACGAGGAACATGTTTCATCAGGACAGTTCTAGAATCTCTCAAAATGTGTGCTGTGTGTGTGTGTTATGGGTAGAGGAAACAAGTGTCCTGATTAACTGTCCCTGCAATACTGTGTCTGTTTACACAATCTCAAGGAACAGACGATGTCTGACAAAATGAAAACAATTATGTCCTCGTGCTGCCATATAAATTATAAACAAGCACAAACTGCTTTCCTGAAGTAAACGGGGGAAACCCAATCAGATGCAGGCAAGCCATCAAGTCTTTATAAACATCCATACGAAACCCAGACTTTGCTACTGTAACACGCGACACATGCAAAGGCAATTGGCATAGTTTAAGTGCGCTGACTAGACACATTCACACAACGGTGCCATTGAACAGGGGGACTTTCCCCAGGACAGTTGCTCAAGGGCACAATGATGATCGGTCAAGGCTAGTTTCTTGTGTCCTTAATTTCAAACTCATTATAGAGTACTTTGTGTTAAAGGGTTTGTTCACCCAAAAATTAATGTTATCCCATTATTTACTCACCCTCCTCAAGCCATCCTAGGTGTATATGAGTTTCTTCTTTCAGACAAACACAATCTGAGTTATATTAAAAAATATCCTGGCTCTTCCAAGCTTTATAACGGGAGTGAATGGTACCACAGATTTTGAAGCCCAAAAAAGTGCATCCATCCATCATAAAAGTAATCCATATGACTCCAGTGGGTTAATAAAGGCCTTCTGAAGCAAAGCCATGTGTTTTTGTGAGAAAAATATCTATAAACCATAATCACTGGCTTCAGGTAACGGCCGTACACGAGTCTAGTTCTGAACTTCTGGTGGAAGAGTGACCTCTGACCTGACGTGATGTACACAGAAGCGTAGAGGATAGAGCAAAACAAAACACTGGTCACAAATTAGAAGTCTAAAATTAGAATTTTTAAAGAGAATTGACGGAGGATTACGATATAAGAGAAGAGGACCGCGAGAGGTAAACTTACACTACTCCTACATCCTACGTCATATGTCGGGCCAGAGGTCACTCTTCCATCGGAGACTCGCGTACGAACGTTACCGGAAGCCAGTGATTACCTAGGACAACAACACAATTGTGACATCCTTATGCAAGAAAAATGATAAAGAACATATGATTGATGTTTGTCTGAATCCTTGACATGATGTTTTCACCCCGATTGCTGTCAGGACGTCAATCACTGACTAAATGTCATATTACCTCATTGAAGAATCAGTACAATCAGCAACAACAGAGAATATTCTAGCAACCACCGTGCAACATCACCTGGATAGAACACTCTAGCAAAGTCCTACACCTACAACATAGATGCTTCCATGCATTAAGTGCGTCCCAATTAGCGTAATTATGCATTATTCTATGCCGTATTATGAGTAGAGAGTTCACACTGAAAACTCCAAATAGAAAAAGCACACTTTTAAAACCCGGATGATGCACTAAAAAACGTTGGACTTCATGCACTCAACTGGCACAGCTTTACTTATGTAGCGGAGGGGGAATGACAAATAACCTTATAAAATTCATACACTACTCGATTGAGTACATAGTGCATAAGCACATAGTGTGTCATTTTGGAAAAAACTAATGACTGACTAATATTACTTTATGAAAAATCAGTCAAATAAAAACCTATTAAAAAAATCTGATTTATTAGCAGTGTAATCTACAGGACAGAATTTGTTTAGACAATGTTTGGTATATCTACATTATAGTTATAAAAGAGAAATTTCACCTCTGCTCTAGTCCATCGTGACATCTCACCACAGTTCTGAACTCACTATGTGAATTAGACAACATACAGTAAGTGTCAGAGTCTTCATTTACATATTGCAACTGAAACCACACACACCTGTTCTCCAATTCAACTTTAAATACACAGTGAATGCCACATGAGTGTAAAAGAGTGGATTCAGACAGCTGTATGACTGCACTCTATGTGTGATGTTAGGGTCATGTCATGAGCCAAAATGACAAAAAACTTGAAATATAATCTGACGGAAACACATTTCTAAAACTGGACTAGGGTGGATATATGGATGTGATTTGGATCAGGTCTGTAAACATCATGTTTTTCATGGGTGGTTTTTCTGTTAGACTACAGTCTACAAACAACTAAACGGATCTGAAAGGGTTTTTCTTTTAAAGCTGCAGTCCGTATCTTTTCCTCTTTGTCGCCATCTCTCTGTTCGAAATCTGTAACTGCAGTGATTCGCGGAATTATTATCTTTACGTGGGTTGTAAATCGGCATGAAACAGCACGGATGAACACAGTGCTTTGAGGCGAGTGCTGCTGTCAGTCACCGCGCTGTGTGGATACTGGCATACAGAATCACAGATTCACTTTTTGAAAGTTTGACCAAAATAAGAATTTTCATAAGAAAATGTCTTCTGAACAAGTAAGTAAAATCCATTTTTGTTCTGACCAACTAAGGGGGAAAAAGCATTCGACATGATAAGCTTCGTTAGATTTAATCAACGCGATTTACAGCAACCGTGCAAATTATAGCCTACTTTGTTCTCAAATTGTTCATGTTAACAACATCAGCATTGCGTGACTAATGTTAAATTTAATGTGTTTTATGGTTACCTGTGTAGTTCAGAATTCATATTCTCCATAATAGCAAAACGAGAAAGGCACAACAAAGGAAACTCCATAACTGTGTGAATTAAGAAAACGTACTGTTACACGATTGAACTATTGAAATGTCTTACTTGTTCAGCAGAAAAAAGCCGTCTCTTCTTCCGTTTTGAACCCCTTCAAAACACGGAGTTCACGCACTTTTCAAAAGCCCCGCCGATGTTTAAATCCTTGTGTTCGCATGAGACGGTTTCTTCCTCTTTCTCTAGCCACCTTAAATCCGAAGTACGAAGTCTTTTGGGTTTTATAACTGCTGAATCTCCAGTTGACACTGATGATTGTTGTTTGGATCTTTCTGGATGCCATAAGTTTAATCATGTAAAGTGCTGCGAGAAAAGCCTATACATCTAAACATCTCGTCACGCGCAGTATAGCCGGCTAGCCGAAACTCCTTCTTTATGTGTACGGGTGTGACGTCATGACGCAAAGACATGCTCGAATTTCCCGCGGAAACCCACCAGTACCACTGGAATTAAAATCATTATTACAAGCTAACCGTTTTGAATCTAGCTATGGCAAGCAGATAGTTTTGACCACTGGCAGAATACGTTTTTTTTAATATAATTATTTTGGATTATTTTTAACTTAAAAAAGTTACGGACTGGAGCTTTAATATATCAAAAATAAAAAACAATTTTTGCTGTCTTTCTCCACAAAACTGATCAAGAATAAACAGTCCATGAGAAAGAAAGTGAGCGAGAGAGAGAGAGAGAAAAAAAGAAATATGTAAAGCAAAGAGAGAAAAACATCTGTTCCTGATATAAATTTAATCGAGCCTGTTATTGTACATCATGTTCTAGTTCAATTGTACGAGCGTGTGTGAGTAAGAATCGTCAGATGAAACTGAATGAAATGGAGGGAAGGAAGGAAGAATGGAAGGATAGCGGAGAAAAGGAAGGAAAGGGGATGACATCGGGCCAAAAAAAGCTGCATTCAGAATAAAAACAGAATGAACAAATGACTCGCTCGCTCTTGTTTCTGCCTAAATAAAACACGCGTGTAACATGATCTGAATCCTGTAACTTTTTCCATTTCGTCGCTCTCCTGCACTCAATTCATCTCACATCCTCTGCGTTCTGTATTTCTGGGAATCTACTGTTGTGTTTTCAGGCCACAGTTATTAATAACACATGTACTCGGAGTCTTTACAGGAAGTGGGAGACGTACTACTCCTATTAGTCAAAACCAATTCAAATCAGTCAAAAGGGAAGAAGATTGAACTATTATTATGGTTGTGATGAATTAAAGGAATGTTTCAGGTTCAGGCTCTATGGTCAGCAAAATGTGACATGCGGTCTAATACCAAAGAAAATAATTCAGTTAGTAAAAAAACAAATACAAATGGTGTTTACAGTAATGCACTTACAATAAAAGTCTATTGAGAAACAGCTTCAGGAGTGTGTAAAAGAAAAATGTGCAGCTCAAAAATATGTGCTCTCACTTAACTGAAGACCTATCACAAGAAATACAAGCTATGACATTTTGATTAAAGACTATGAAGGCAACATTTTATATATATATAAACTGCACAGAAGAATTGTTCACAACAAGACCAGTAACATAAATCTGAAGAATATTCATTTATAAAAATGTATAAAAGTGCAAATTTTAAAAAGTTCAGGCAAATTCATCACTTCAAAAACCTTAAAATCTAGGAAAAGGTCATTAAAGAAATCTGGTCAGAATTTTTTTCTTTGATCGCTCCCTTAAATATGATGTCAAAAAGATCATTTTAAAGGGGGAAGTATGATATTCAACACCCTTAATTTCAATAAAAGCCTAATTTAGGTATAATTTGATTTATTTTATCCTATATAACCTATTGAAATGTAATGGTGATATTGACTGATATTTGAAAGATATTAAAAAATAATATATTTTGTATTTTAAAAGTTATTTTGCATTACACATTAAAGAAGAGCTAAATCTATCAAATAATGTGATAAGTCGGCATGAAATGAAAATTCACACTATTTTCTAAAATGCATGCATCCTAAAAATTACAACTTACAAATGATGCTTTGGGCCTTTGGCTATACTTTCTTTTGAAACTCAGTCCTGTCTCTCTGTCTCTGCAGGTTTTGTGCTGGTGATCGGCCTCGTGACGTTCTACAGGATTGGCCCCTACACTCACCTGTCCTACTCTTGCTACGTAAACATCGCTGCATGCTTGTTTGCCACGCTAGCCGCAGCCATGCTAATCTGGAATATTCTGCATCGCCGTGACGACTGTCTGTCACCGTCTGTCATTGTCATCAGTCGATCTTTGACCACACCCTTCAGGCCACGCCTAGACAATGACTACGTAGAGTCACCGTGCTGACACACAAAGACACATCTCACCTGAGACAAAGGGCATGATGGATATTTAGATGGGATGGACACAAAAGCCCATGGAGAGGATTTCAATCATTTTATGTGAAATTGATCTTCTGCTTAAAGGGACAGTTTACGCAAAAATGAAAATGTGCTGTTAATTTACTCGCCCTCAGGCCATCCCGTCTTTTTTTCTTCAGTCAAGAGGATTTTTAGCTGAAACTGAAGTCCTTGGTGATTCATATAATGCAAGTCAATGACTACCGTCACTTTGAGTTAAAAAAAAACACACATACAGGCAAAACAAAAATAATACCAGTGGCTACTGATGATACATTGAGGTCTTATGAAGCGAAACGATCGTTTTTTGTTTTTTGACTCTCAAAGTGACGGTAGCCATTGACTTGCATTATATGATGAATCACCAAGGACTTCGGTTTCAGTTGCTAAAAATCCTCTTTAAAGTTCTACTGAAGAAAAAAAGACACCAACATCTTGGATGGCCTGAGGGCGAGCGAATTAACAGCAAATGTTCATTTTTGGGTGAACTGTCCCTTTAAGGACAAGGGTTTTGATCATGTGACTGAAAAAAGTGACCTTGCTTCAGACTGAATGGAAGACTTTGGATATTCCTTTAAACACAGAAGCAGGACTGTGGATTGTAAAGAATATAACTGACAGATAAAGATCAAGCTGGATCTTGACACGTTTATGTTCATAAGTGCACTTATGAGAAAGTAAAAGCACATGTATCTATTATAGTTCTAGGAAACATGGAGCATCAGATTTCAAAAGAAGTCTAGGCATTGAACATTGCTCCCAGGTCATTTGGATATAGCAAAGTCTCTGATATAGTCATTAACAGACCGGCATGGAATCTGCACTTTCATACACAGTTTCAGTGCTAATTTACGAGGACAAATCTGCAGAATGCATTTAAATTGGTGAATTTCACACATATTTTATGTCCATGCCCAGATCACATTTTGCTCCAAAATAATAATAAAAAAAAAAATTAAGTCTATTTTAGGACTATTTAAATTCAATTTGTTTTTTCAACTTTTCAGGTAGAAATTTTGCTTAATTTTGATTAATTGCTTCATTTTGTTTAAACAAAATATCATCTTTTCTTTACTGTGAGGAGATATGACACCCAAATATAGTAAAATGTGTTAAACAGAGTTGATAGAATTATCAGATTATTCCAAAATATTAAATCTAATATGTGAGGAGATGAGATGGAAATCTGGTGGAGCAGATTCTGTGCAGGTCTGGGCATTTGGTACCAAAATTATTTTAGTGACTTCTGCCTGTTCATTTATCTCCATACATCTCCATGTGACGATTCATCAGATATCCTATAATCTACAAGACACCAATGAGGAAACTCTGCATAGTAACCATTAAGAAGGAGATGATCTGAAACTGGTCATACTTGTATGATAAACTGGAACTATATCAGTTCAGTATACAGTAGACACCATACTTGTTAACCTGTGCCTGTGGTACCCATATATGTGTATAATACAGAGGTATATTAAGTATATTATTAAAATTTCACATTTCACCCTGAGCGGGACTGATATAATATTATTAAAGTAATAAACAAAGCCATTCAACACACAAAAGGGTTGTTCTGGGATTGACTGTGTGTGTGAGATCGGTGAGCAAAGAGTCAAGGACAGTCTGAATGAGAGGAAATGAATGGAGACACACACACACACACATGTCTGGTTTACTATCTTTGTGGGGACTCTCCATAGACGTAATGGTTTTTATACTGTACAAACTGTATATTCTGTCCCCTTACACTAACCCTACCCCTAAACCCACCACAGGAAACATTCTGCATTTTTACCTTTTCAAAAAAAATTGTTCTGTATGATTTATAAGCGTGTTTACCCATGGGGACCTCAATTTAGGTCCCCACAGTGACACGAGTCCCCATGAGTCTGTGTGCATTCAGGCTTAAGTCCCCACCGGGATAGAAAAACATGTACACACACATACACATACACATATAATTACGCACACACACACACACGCACGCACGCACGCACGCACGCACGCATGCACGCACACACACACACACACACACACACACACACACACACACACACACACACACACACAGGTGACCCCCTGATTCCAGACTGACACTTGGATGTTGATAACATGAGGCTTATTAATGTTACTACCGGTACATGCACAGAAACTATTCGCATTATTAAGGGATAGTTCACCTGGAAATAAAAATCTGTATACAAAAAAAGTCTGTATATAAACAACATTTTTGATTTTTAGGTGAACTATGCCTTAATCATGCACAAAGTAATTTAACAAAATGTTTCACGTTTTCCACAAAAATATTAAGCAGCACAACCTTTTTCAACATAATAATAACAATAATAGTAGTAGTAATGTTAAAAAAACATTATTAATAGTAATAATAAGAAGAAATGTTTCTTGAGCAGCAAAACATCATATTAGAATGATTTCTGAAGGATCATGTGACACTGAAGACTGGACTTTGATCACAGGAATAAATTACATTTTAAAATATATTACAATAGAAAACACTTATTTTTAAAGTGTAATAATATTTTTTCAAAATATTACATTTTTACTGTATTTTTGATAATAGACATAAAAAACTTGTAAATGGAGCTGTATATAGACACATCATACATTCATATAATTAATGTAGAACATATGCATATGAATTACATGAATGTATGAGGTGAGCTGATATTCCTGCTTTTTATTCTTAGTTATTTTATTGATAATGGTCAATTGGTCAATTTTTTTGTATTTTATTGTATTCACACTTGCTCTTTCCCATACAGTGAAAGCATGAAGTCACCAGGGGTTGTCTTGTCAATCTTCAAATAAGACAAAAAAGCACCAAAACGTATAATAAAAGTGGTGCATATGACGCGTGCACTATATTCCAAGTCTTATGAAGTCATACGATAGATCTGCGTGAGAAACAGACCGAACTTAAAAATGTATTTTCTGTTGTAATTCTGAAACCTTGCTTCCTCATTCATATAGTACATGGTGTGGCGAAATGACTTGCAAATATGATGTATCTTGATATGCCATATTGAATATATTTGTGTATTACTTATAGGAATATAGCACACAAGTCATAAGGAAAATAGTTTTATCATAGTTTTAAGGTGCCTTTTAATTCTTATTTGGAGCTTTACAGCCTCTGATTACTTGGTTTTATTGTTTCAAGAAAGTCATACAGATTTGAAATTATCAAAATTTTCATATTTAGGTGACCTAACCTTCAAAAGGTGAAACATTAAAGGCCATTAAAACAAATCCGACAGTGTGTGTTACGTGCTACAGGGATCCGTCACAGTTCTTGAGAATTTGATTGTTAAAGATAGGAATCAATAGATTGCTCCGCTCGAGCTCTTTTCCTCTCCTCCGCATTTCATCTGTTGCTAAAATGAACTAAAACAATACAGCTGGAATGTACAGTACACACACCCCATACAGTCATGGAAATCTGTGTCTTTTACGGTAGTGCTCTCATACACACAAGGCGTCTTTTGGGAAGCCGCTGCACACACCTACATATAAACACCAGTAACCTTACAAGCACGCGAAGTACAATTACAATTCCCATTACAAACATGAAACACACAAAGCCGGGAGACGGCAGTGTGTGTGCGTGTCTGTTTAGATCACTATATCCTTTCTGGAACTGCACTTAGTATTGTCTGAAACCAATGACAACACACATACAATATAAATGTCTGGCTCACCATTACCTCATTTATCATTAGTAAATCATTTTTATGATAAAGATTATTTTACATAACATCTCCCTTTTCACTGTAATGGCTGGTAAATGGCAAGCATGCCATCTGGCACGTCCTCCTCCTCATACACCCAGAATGCAGGCAGGCAGAACGCAGAGGATGTTTCACTCACTCACAGTGACTCGTGTTTGTGTTTCAAAACCTAGTAAGCTGCCGACCTAGACAGCATTTTTAGTTGTGATGGGCCAATATATTGACCAGGACATTAATTGGCAAATGTTTAAATTTTTGAGATTATCAGCTTCAGCCAATTACCTTTCATCTGCTGACATTTTTGAATATTTTGAGAATTCTGAGAAGTGTTACTTTACTATTATTTTTATAATACTTTATATTATGTAGTATTTTGAATTAGCTTAAATATATATATATATACACATATATATACATATACATATATTTAGCATTAACTGATATTAACTTATTTTACTTTAAACATTTTATATCAGTTAGTCGTCAAGGAAACATTTATAATTGTTAAGCTTTTAGGTTTTTCATCTAATATTTATTTTATTTTCAGCTTTATTTCAATCAATGACAATTTTAATAGTTTTAAGTTAACATCAACAACACTGATTTTGAGTAATCGGCAAGCGATCATCCTGCTCTATACATATCAGAATCTTCCACTACAGTAGTTTAATTCATGTAGGCAGCTCACTAGGTATAAAAACACAACATTTATTATCACACAAACTATAATTTCATCACACGCATCTAGTCTTTGATACGCACATTTGCTAAGTACTTTGATATGTCAAAAAATAAGTGCTGACATCTGAAGCAGTTTGACTGCTGAGCCATGGTGCTGTTAAATGGAAAATAAGGCGTGGTTTTAAAAGTTAAACTAATTTTAACCTGAAATGGCATCTTAAAATGCGGTACTCATGCACAAGACGCTGAAAAGAAGTCAGAGACATCTTTCTAGCACTTCACATAGAAAAACAATTAAAAAGTAGAGCAGGCTGAATGAAAAAAAGTGTCCCTAAAAGTGTGAAATCTGATCCCTTATTATTTAAAAAAGTGATTACTAATATATTGAAGTGACTTGGACATACACTTCTTATAGGTTCTGTTGTTTTGGAGTAACCTGAAGTTGTATCTTGATCAAGGTCACAAGTACACAGATCAGCTCTTTGAACAGGTTTGTTCAGGTTTGAACATACTCTGATCAACTCAAAAGCTCAAACACTGATAAACCTCAATGCTCTGGTAACTGGTTGGTAAGATGTGAGTGCACGAGTACATGTACCTCTTGATGAGTTTGATGGCTTTAAACGCTTCGTCCATGTCCCCTATAGTGAGGTAGAAGCTGAAGTTCAGCATGGCGTCTCGCGTCTGCTTCTCGCAGCTCTCCAACCCAACAAAGTCTCGTAGGGCTCGTCGTACCACCATCTGAGGGGCCGACGGCACCTGGGGCGCTT